TGCAAGCACTCTGGGTTTGGCTTATGCTTCCTGAGGCTCAGCAAACTCTGGAGGAGGGCTGCTTTCATCAGATACTTTTTATTTTCGGGCGTACAAGTACACAGAGTACTAGCCAGGAGTCACCGTGTCCAGCACATTTCCCGACTGCTCAACTTACTTGAAGTAAGGCGGCAGAGACCGAAGGATATTTATTCTAGGTAGACAACATACAGGAGTCTGGGAAGGATAGGTGAGGATTGACGATTGACGGCTGTGTTGGTAGCCCAAGGAGAGAAGGTGAGAAACCGAGAGGACTCTGGGAAAAGGAAACAAGGTCATGTTGCAGTTAGGTTACCTACCAGCGTCCTCAAAATTTAGTCAGGAGTGCACTCCTGACATTCTTTTCATGATTGAAAGGGTAGGAATACTTCCTTTTACATGGACTATGCCTGATACTCTAAAGGCAGGACCAGCATCGGTTGGTGTCCTTGTGAGAGGACACTGGGGCTGATCATTACCTGAGCGGTGCCTGGCCCAGCTGCCGGGAACGGGAGCTGAAGTTCAGCAACATGGGTGAGGCAAAGGTTATGTGCAGAAAGAGGACCCTGTGCTATGGAGAACACGCAGAATGAACTGCACAATGCTTGAAGAGGGAGAAACCTGTTTGGACCCGATGGAAGGTAGAAATTCAAATAAGAAGCCTACTGGAGAGCCCTTTCCTACAACATATCAGGACTAGTAAAGGCAGGATGGAGAAATGTAATTGCAGTGATCACTGTGTGAGGATACCTGGCTGAATGACCAGTGGGGGGTAAATCCAGCCCACCTTCTAGCCATGGTCTGTGCCCCAGAACACAGGGGTACCCTTTCTAATTCACACAGAGGCAACATCTTCTAACAGCCTTTCAGTTGGAATAGGTGCCTTTTCCTCACTTACCCTTCCAAGCTTTAGAGGAAGCTTTCCAATTTTTTGTTTGCCATAGGGCACGTGATGGTCATGCCACAATTCCCTCTTCCATTCTCCTCTTGGGATTTTGAGCATGCCTGCACACATGTGCCCACTGTGATTTTCAAGCCATAGGGTCCCAGACTCGAACAGTGTTTGGCCAAGTGAGAATCCAGTGCCTTACTATGCCACCTGCTGACCCCTTTGGAATTCTTAATTGATACTTCCTATAGCCCACCAAGTCCCTGTTCAATCATTCCTAATGAAGGCCAAAGATGACTTCTCGGGTTCTAAACTGGCTGTTCTAACCAGGGCTAGGGCATGGAGGCAGCTTTTGACTTTACAATGACAATCTGGTAGTTCCCCAAACAGAATTACCTCAAGATCAAGCTCCCTATGACAGGAAGTTTCTTCATGGGTAGTTGGTAGCTGCTAGTTGTGTACCAGGTAGAGGAAGACCAGATGTCTTTAAAAATCCCTTCCAACTCTAAAGCTATGTGAGTTGTTATGCTCCAACCAAGACAGCTCTTAAAATAGTCAGGGAAAGCAAGAGATGAGATTTCCAGTGCTGATTCTGTGGTGGACTTTAGAGCAGGCATTTAATCTCCACTTCCCCGTGTACACAGGTGATTTCACAACTCTTGGCAAAAAACAGTGTTATAAAAATAGTTGTTTATTGGTTTAAAAAATACTGTATTTGAAAAGCACCCTTTTAGATTTTCAAATACTCTGCACACTTCATTTTATTCATGTAACACAGCAGAAACACTGGAAATGAGAAAACAGAATATACTGCTTTTTATATATTTAACACCGCAACAAAACCAGAGCAACCAGTCTCCAAGTCTGTTGGTCCTAAGAAAGCAGAAGAGCTGTTCAGACAAAGTGTTTTTTTTTTTTTTTGAGAGGTTTTTCACTATAGGGCGTGTGCACTCGCCAGACAGACAGACAGAGAGACAGAAAGCGAAATCACCCCCCAGAGGGGTTGGCCACGCCGCAATCCCTTCTCCTCTGTTCTCCTCTCCGGATCTTGGGCATGTACACACACGCGCCTAGAGTAGGTTTTAAGCCACCAGGTCCAGGACGTGAACCGAGGTCATAGCCATTACGCTAACTGCTGGTTCCCCAGACATAAAGTTTTCACTTCCAGTATCATTCCAGCTCTTGGGGAAATTTGGGATGGGTGCTGATAGCCTAAGGGCTGACTCCTCAGGGATAGGAAGGGGACTTGAGGAGGGAGCTTAAGTTGCTTGCAGTCATTGACGACATTACATGGTGTTTCTCCCCAAACAAGGCTCAGAGGTAGAAAAGCAATCTGTCCTCATTCCTTTCTACATGCAAAGGCCTCAGTTAAATTTGTGAGCCAGCTGGGTATCCTGTCAAAGGCATAGTAGGTTGGACACTCATCACCCCAGAGAGCTTCCTCCCACCCGCCTGGCCTAACCTCTAGTTGGCAATGCCCCTCAGAGTGGACCCTGGAGATGGAATGTCCCTTTCTGAGGCTCTTACACAGGGAAAAAGCGTGTTATTGCTCACGTTGGCAGTAACACTGGCTGGCTGGACTCCAGAGGCTCCTACCCTCACTCGGTACAAGAAGATATATAGTCGTCTTTTTTCCTCTTGCATGATTCTTCAAAGACTTCCATGCTTGCCAGCTGGCTACACTCCAAGTCTCAGTGTTTACTTCTGCACAGCCTGAAGTCTCTCCAAACCCAGCTTCTTTTTATCAGTAACATCACATTTTGTGGCCTACAAGACACAAAGCCTCACAATCAGGCTTAAACTCAGTGAATAAAGAACATTCCATCCATACTGTATGGCCGTGAGATATACTTATCAGTCCGTTTTTTTTTCCTTTTTGGAGAGGTTTTTGCTATAGGGCGTGTGCGCTTGCCAGACAGAGAGAGACAGAGAGACAGAAAGTGAGAAATCACCCCCCAGGGGGGATGGCCACACTGCAATCCCTTCTCCTCCATTCTCCTCTCGGGATCTTGGGCACGCATGCACACGCGCCCGGTGTGAGTTTAAGCCACCGGGTCCGGGACTCGAGCGGCGGTCAACTATTTGAGAGTCCAGTGACATAGCCATTACGCTAACTGCTGGTCCCTACTTTTTTTTTTTTTTTCCTTTTTAAATGGGGAAAGGTGGGGGACAGCCAACAATATATCTAGTCAAAAAGGTGTTGATTATGAAACTGCCTGCTAGGAAGTTCCAGTTAGCCCAACACTATTGACCACACAGCATAGGACAGTGTTCTTCGGGACACTCTAGAGCCTATGGGAAATGCTCTGGGACATCCTCCTTGACAGCAAAGCACCAATTTTTTAGAAACAGGTCAAAGACATCTAGAGGCAGATCTGGTGAATACACTGGATGGTATCGTCTTGGACCCCAGGTGAAGGGTGGTGCTATGCAATGAGGCTGAGCTCCAAGGCTGAGGGCCATCCTCAGAGAGGCAATCTAGTCACATCTTGAGAAACAGCAACATTGCCTCCAATAAGCCAGCTCTGACTTAAGTCAAGGCTTAGTGCTATATATGGTCATACTGCATAAGCTAAGAATTAGAATTTTGGGGGGTGGAAAATATGTATGTGCATTTGATAAAGTGCCTCAAGAAAAAAAAGTTTAAGATAAAGTTTCCATCAGTGTCCTACTGAGAGGGTCTTTGTGAGGATTACTTGACAAACACATACATACAATGGTAAGTTCTAAAAGCTGCCTTTCTGTTTTCTCTTCCCTTCTCACCAAATAATAACGGAAACTGAAATTTTAATTACCATGCCCCCAAATTCCCCTTCTGGTCTTCTAAGTTCTATAGCGAAACCAGGAAATAGGAGATCCAGCTGTGAGATGACAGATCCCAAAAGTATTTCCATACTAAGAAGCCAAAGAGTTCCAGTGAAATCCCATGTTGCAAGTCATAATATCAGTTGAGGGCTGAAAGACTAGCTGAATGTTCCTGTGACCAGCAGAATGGGGGGAGTCTGGCAGAGCCTCCTTGATCCAGGTGGCTTTGGAGGGTAGTTAACGTTCTAAATTAAAAGGCACTTCTAGTCCAGTTGCATAAGGAGAGGGCAAAGACTGTCTCCTTTGGAAGCAGAACTGAGCCCAGGACTAAAGGTTTAAGGCACTTGACCTTGGGCCGGCTCCGTGGGTCGTGGGTCTGGGTCGTGGGTCGTGGGTCTATGGGTTCGTAGTACCCTGGTCCCTGGTCACCTGTTCAATCAGGCCCTTTTAACACATCCACGTCACTCACTGTCCCAGCATTCCTTTGGCACTGTAAGCTGTGGTTTGCCTGTTTTAATGGCGTAGTTGAAGTAGCTGCCTTGCCCCATTTTTCAGGGGGCACACTTTCGCAGAAGTAGGGCACAAACCACAGCCCCCCCTCAGGTGTCTTTTAGGAGAAAAGTTGCTGAGATGAACAGTCAGACTATGGTGAAATGCTTGGGGGAGGGAGCTTTGGTTTCAGGAAGTCTCAGAGTTCACAGGCTCAATGTAAACCCCACACTTCGAGTCACTGAGGTTTGGGTGGAAAACACATGCTTTGGCACTTCCGTGTGCAGGTCCTCTCGTGGACTTCAAACCTCAGCCTAACTGTGCATTGAAAAGGTGTTCATGGGCGAGGGCAGTGCTATTCCTGGGAATCTTTAAGGACAAGAGTTAGATACTCTTGGAAAGTACGAAAAGAGAAAGCCTGGGGGAGAGGATGGGTTCATTTCACTCCCTCTGGGGTGCTGTTCAGGACCATTTTCCAACGAGGGCTCCACATAGGCAATTATTGCTAATGGTGAATTTCCTTTGTATGATCAAAAGTGTTAAGTCACGACTGAACAGTTCCATGATCCTTCTCTTCTGTCCAAGCAGAAAAGAGTCTGCTCCTACGTAGGAATGAGATGAAAAGCTGGAATTCTGTAGCCTTGCCCAGGACAGGTTTTGCTGTGCCATGGCTCTGCTATAGTTTAGCTCCAGCATCTTCTTCCTAGGTCTCCTGCCTAGTTCATGCAAAGCAGTGAGCATGCGAGCAACTAAAAAATAAAAAAGTAAAAATAAAAAAAGCCATGGTAGGGGAAGGAAACATGATTGCAAGGAGTCCTTAAAAATGAAGGCCTCCCACTTTATTGGTATCAGAATTACTTGGAGAACTTAGAAAAGTAGATCCCCAGAATCTCCCACCTCCAAAGTCTTCGGCAGCTGGAGATGTACAGTAATAGTTGGGGTGGAGAAGAGAACGGATGAATTTTACCTGAGGCAAAAAGATGAAGAAAATAAAGGACAAAGAAACAAAGGAAATCACATGTGGACGTGAGAAGGAACATGAAGCAACATAAAATAACAATTATGGCTTACGAAGCCAGGTGGAACACAACAGCCACATGACAGAGAGAAAGCAGCATGCTGGCACAATGCTCCATAAACCCTGGCTCTGCCTAGAGTCTGCCTCCAGAGCACCGAGTTAGCTAAACGGACTTCTCACAAAGTTCCAGATTAGGCTGGGCAAATGGACCATCAGACAAGAAAGACTGGCTGCCAGGGTCATGGCCCAGGTGTAGTTCTGCAATACCCTGTCGATATAGCACCTCTGGGGGATCTCGAGGTCACACAGATTGTCCAGGCACTCCCAAACTAGAGGTGAGCCCCCTGGGCAGAGTTCTTCTTGAGTGTAGTGATTCCAGCCTTCAACCTAGTCAATGTTGGCTCTGGCGCTTTGCAATCTCCTCCTGGATACGCAACTTGAGGGCTTCTCGCATGGGTGGGTCCAGAGGCGTGTGGGCTGACACCTCCTCGCTCACCCTTTCTGGGTCATCGTCCTACATGAAGGAAGAGTCGGGAAGCTCAGAGCCAGGCCTCTTTTAGAAAGGGAACCTGCCCTGTTAGACAGAACTCAGTGTGGCTCTAAGCTTTTGGCCTGCGCCAGTCACTTCCCAGGTATCCAATGCAACAGTAACTCTCAAGTCACCATAAACCCTCCCTGTTCCCTGCGGAGAATCACTGGGTGATGGGAATGAATTGTGCTCCCATATGGAGCAGAGACTTCCCAAGGGCCTAAGTCAACAGTGGCTCAGAGTCTGGGAGTGAAGTCTACCATGGCCAGGGACCTGCAGGTGCAGCCGTTTCCATGAGGCCTACCTGATAAACGATAACTGATGTGACCTCTCCACTGTCCGCCTCGTATTCTAAGCAGAAGAGTTGATGGCCAGGAGGCTCCAGCTCAGAGCCACCACTACTGCTGCTTTCACTGGACTCCTCGTTGTCTGGGTTGCTTGGGTGGGTAGAGCCATCTGGAAGGAGGAACCAGAGCAGGAGGGAAGAGGAGAATGTGGCTAAAGACCCAGCACTCAGAGATGATGCAGGAAAACATACTATAAAGAAAGCCCACATAGGGCTAGCCAGTGGTGTGGAGGGTTAAGGGGGCTGGGTCCCACATGGCTGACTGTGGGGTCCAAGTCCTAGACTCAGCAACTTGAAAAACATGTCAGGTGCCTGTGTGCCCAAAATCCCAAGAGGAGAGTGGAGGAGAAAGGATTGCAACATGGCCGGCCCTCCTCTCACTTTCCCAAAAATAAAAAAAGAACAAAAAAGCCCCCATCTCCTTATGGGACAAGTGCATCTGCATTTCCCCATCACGTCTTCCTTTTCTGTCTCTGCCAGAACAGTCCTGTCATACAGTAAGTACACAATGTGCATTTCTTTGGAGAGTAGGGTTGGAAGGTGCTGGAAGGATGGACAGAGCTCTGCCTGGTTTCAGATCCAGGCTCTGCCATTTACCAGCTGAGATCTTGGGTGAGTTATTTAAATTCTCTATCCCTGTTTCCTGACTGAAACAGAAACAACAGCTTTTATCTTACGGAAATCTGTACTCAATGAATCAACATACACAAGATCTAATAAAGTGCTTTAAATAACGCTTACTACATTGTGTCATACATTAACTACTGGGATCTCTAGGCCGCAAGGAAGCTGGGGAGTCTAGTTACTGGGTTCATTCCAGCTCTATCCGGGTCGCTTGTATCTGTGCCACTTTCTGACAACAGTACGGAGGAGCAATACGGCGGGCAACTTCCGGCGGCTCCCTGGCACTCTCTGTAAAAGCGATTCTAAGTGGGGACCACGAGCCCTCCCAATTCCTCAGGAGGCTCGCTGAGTGGACGCTCGGGGAGGTTCTGGGAGGGAACGAGGTGGGCTGAGCCTTGGGGGTAAGAAGCCTTTCTTTTTCTATGGAGGCAGGCGGGCGGGCGGCCTCACCTCGGCGTCGCGGCAGGTACACCTGCAGATCGGGCTTGCGGGGCCGCGTCGGCGCGGGCGTGTGCCGCCTCCTCGGCTTTTCCTTGGCCGCCTGCTTCACCTTCTTGTCGTAGTCGTCCCTGCGGGGAGCCGAGCGGGAGTCAAGGGACAGCCGGGCCGGGCCAGGCCAGGCCAGAGGTGGCGGCGGCGGCGCGGGGAGGGGCGGTACCGGGCGATCTGGTTCCGTCGGATATGGTGCACAAAGCCGTGGCTCATGTCCAGCCGCCCGCCGGGCTTACAGTAGAGGCCCGGCCCCGGATCCGG